AACAGGTGGAATTTACGCAGCTCATTTACACACTTTTCCTGAAGATAGAAGAGTTTGTTGAATCTGACGTGACATGTTCGTACGAACCCTTTGTATAAACAAAAGTAAGAGAAATTTAGGATAAGAATATGAACATGTTCTTGCATGAGGCCCATTGTGTCTCTTTAAGCGAGGGTGTGGTCCACTACCTAAGGTGATGCATGATGTCTCACTATGGGTATGGCTGCAGGTCATACGCGGGGTCTGTTTATGCTTTGGCCCATGTGGGGCTTGGCCTCAGGTGAAACAGGTTATGTTTGGGTGGAGGTGTGGGATGGAGCGGATGGTCTTTACGACCATTTCTCTGTAACATTTTTAAATTAGTCCATGTTCTCAAAACTAAATACCAATTAAGGATAAAATCGTGATTTCAGAGCCTTGAATAAATAATAGTCAGGCCATCTTCTAAAACTCCACAACAAAGAAATGAAAGAGACTGTTCAGAAATATTTGTGAAGACTGAAATTAGTTTGTGATATTAAAGTTTGACAGGAAGTAAATGTACCTTGATTCTGCGAAGGATAGAAGCCACTCGTTTCTGCAGGTCGTCCCATCGCTGGTTGGCTTCCTGGGCCATCTCTCTCAGGCCACAAGACGAGTCTGTACGGTTTTCTCTGGCCAGGCGGCGGTACTGCTTGTTGATCAGCTCTAATTGAGTCAGGCTTTCCTGAACTTGTCTTTGGAAGGTCTACAGAAACAAATTAGTGCATTAAAAAAAGTCAGACTTCATGCATCATTTAATTTATTCATTGGTATCTACCCTGAAATGTGTTTTATATGTAGCTGTTCATTACAAGTGTTAATATTGACAAGCTCTGTCCTACAAAGTCAAGAGAGGGTTGGTCACCTCAAATTTCTTTAATTCCTCCTTGGCTACTGTGTACAGCACACCAGAGGAGTTGGGAACAGCAGCAGTCTTCTCTGAAGAGGCCAGCCACTCCTCAAAACGTGCAAAGTCATCTAGAAATTTCTGCCATAGACGCCATGTCTCCTCAATCCTAAAAAAAAATGTATATTATATTGAGGGGAACAGTAAGACCTGAATGAAACAACAAAATCATATTTGATCTGTAGTGATTTACTTAAGTCTCCTCTCCATGGACAGGGCACAAATTGTCCTCCAGCGGCGGTCCAGGCTGCGCGTGGCCTGCTGGATGGAGTCACACTCGGCATCGGTGGCACAGGCATCACAGTCGTGCAGGAGCACCTCGCACAAATTCAGTACAGACGCAACGCCTGTACTGTGCTTTTCTATGTCCCGCTGGAGCTCCTGCAAACAGGCAGAGTGGAAAATGTTCAGCAGATGTCAATGTTGCTGATGGAGTGAACCCAGGGGGAAGACATCGCAAGGAAACTCGGAACTTAAAGTATTTGATTAAAACAAGAAAACAAAAAGTTGTTGAGGCAGCCAAACGTACATGGAGCAAATAGGAGGAGAATCAGAACTCAGAGGAACATGGAGAAACAGACAATGGGCCTCATGCAAGAACCGTTCGTACGCACAGATTTGTTCTTAAATTGTGCGGACGAGTGATTTAGGAGAATTTGTGGCATTCACCAATGTTTTC